GACCATATTTTAAGGCTTACAAAGCACTGTCTTCAGAACCCCATGAGGTAGGAAATGCAAGCGCTTAATGCCCAATCACCAGACGTACAGACAATTATGAGCAGATACGGCACAACAGGAATCATGATACTTACGTTATGGTGGTACCTCTTCCCAAAGTGTCTCCTCTTGGGTCAGCGATGACAGAAAATTCATTGGAGTCAGATTCCCAGATGTGTTGGGAATCATTATTATGTTTCGATGTAACAATAACCCTATCTGCTACAAGGAAGGCAGAATAGAAACCTACACCAAACTGGCCAATCAACTCTGAGGTTGACTGGCCATCCCTCTGTGCCTCAGTCATTTTGTTTAAGAATTCACTTGTGCCAGACTTCGCTATGGTACCAAGGTTTTTAACTAATTCTTCCCTGGTCATGCCAACACCAGTGTCTGTAACATGCAGCAGGTTCTTCTCCTTATCACACTACAATCAAAAGAAGGACAAGATGTTGAAACCTTTAAGACACTGAACACTCAAAACAAATTGTACAACCTAACCCCTATCACAGCCAGCTGAAATGAAGGTTTGGAGCAAGGATAAAAAGGTATTGCTATTTTAGAAAATGGTTAGTAAAAAATACTTTGAAGTGGGCAAATGCTTTCCTTTTTTTAAAAAAAAACCAAGTATACTAGCATTTACACACTAAGTATGTTACTAATATATTTAGTACTTAATTTAATCTATGATGACTCAGGTTTTTATCGTATTTGAAGGTCACCTTCCATTGATGTTCATGTTAACCACCAAAGCATGTACATATAGGCACACACATCTACATACCCATTATGTTCTCTCTCCCTAAGTGATGGCATAAACCCCAAGAGTCAACATGGGGAAAAAACAAAGTACACTGGGATGGAAGGAAAGACTCCACAACATTAATTCTCCAAGTACCGACTCTGTCATCCCCTAATTTCTAGGAAATCTTTTGATTTTAAGCATTAGCTGGTCTTAATTTCAAGCTTACCTTAATTTTGACAGTTAGTTCTTCATTTCCAGAAAGAGCATTTTCATCAGTCAGTGAAATTAGCCTTATTTTATCTAACGCATCAGAAGCATTTGAAATCAGTTCTCTCAGGAAAATCTACAATAATTTGAAAGAAAGGGTCCAGATAAAATACACATTTAACATCAGACTTAAGACCTACTTTATTTCTGTCCAAGGTTCCTAAAAAGCTATTCAAATCTTATATCTACCTACTCTTATTGAGATCTCATCTGGTAAATTGGGTCACTTAGTTTTCTTAATACTCGATTTGAGAAACGACTTATCTGTTGCCTACCTTTTTTCTATGACAGGGCCAGTTTAACATGATTGATCTTAACTAGACTTACAATCTCTAGTTCAAGGTAACAAAATGATATATTGTTGGGAAAGAGTAGGAAGGTTAGCATTGTTTTAAAATTATTTTACTACATTTGTGTACTGTGGAGATGGGAAAAACTAAAAACCTGAGAAGAGATCTTGGCAGGAGAGTTAATTAAGAGCTATGATCTTACACCATGTGCTTTATACAAGGGGTGATGCATACAATTCTTACCTCCTTATTTTTGTACAAAGAATTGATTATAAGCTTCATCATTCTGTTCACTTCTGCTTGGAAAGCAAATTTCTCAGATTTTTCTCTAAGTTCTTTTATTTGGGATGCATTCAAGCCATCCAATTGAATAGCTTCTTCTTCTCTATGGACAGAGAAAAAGAAAACGTTAGGCTACAATAAAATAAGTGTAAGCAAATAAACACAAGGACCATAGTGTTTAATATGATAATGGATGCACAGCCAGTGTCTAATCTGCTGACCCTTTTTCTTCGCTCATAAATAAAGCTAAAATTGAAGCCCTTTCAACAAACATTTCTTTCACTTGATTATTATGTTGTATCTATAAATAGTTTGGGTAATTAAGCTCAGCTTTAGAAACAATATACCAACACAACTTTTCACTTTTCTACAATCTCCTTTTTCCTGAAATCTGCTATTCTGCACAGGCACTTTTCTCCAGTTAGTTTTTAAACTAATCCTGCACTACTCGGTTGTCAACAGCGTTCTTGAATCCTTTAGCTGTTCAGGATTCTTCAGCGCTGGAACCTTATCTGTATTGTATTAGAAAGCACACATGAATATGCAGGTTTGAGGGCAGAGATATATAGAACCTAAACACATTCTTAGGTTCTACATATCTCCACCCTGTGCTTTCTAATAAAAATATCATGTATGTAATATATATTACATACCCACACCTACCCAATAAGCAAGAGCCAATAACCACTTCTTCTCAGATTTAATTTATCCCCGTCATTCCCTTTCTTGCCCCATGGACTTCAAGTCTCTCCATTTGATATTTACTTCTGATAACCAGGGGTCAATTCTACTTGGAGAAATTCTGTTCTGATGGCTTGCAAACCTGCTGCTCACCCTGGTCTTCAGTTCTACTGGACCAGCTAAAAGGGAGCCAAGAGGTAAACTCTTACATGAAAATAAAACCTGACTTGCTTGTGCCTTTGGTAGAGAACAGAATCATTTCATTTGGATTTTGTTCAGACACTTGACAACAGATTTCAGATGCCTCTTCCTTTCTGAGACCAGAGACCACAAACAACATCTGGCCTCGTGCAGTAAGTCACTGCGACAGTTTCGGGTCAGCACCAACCTCTGGACGACTTCGTCGTCTGTCCGAGAACCTTCTCTGCTTTTTCCCAGATCTTCTTCCACTGTAGCTTCCACATCCACTTGGTCGTCTGCTTTAACTGATCCTAAGGAAAAAGGATGTTCCTGTGTGAGACAACTGCCTTCCCAGTCACTTGGAGCAGATGAACTAACAGGGGGCCCAGGGTGGCGCGGGAAGGGGTGGAGCCCAAGGAGGCCCAAAAGCCTCGTGAACATGGGACTGAATAAAGGGATGACCAACTCAGGCCCACCCCTTGCTTACCCCTTCTCCACAGAAACAGATTTGTTAGCCTTCTACCTGGAAAGCTCTGGGTTCAAGTGCCAGGCAGAATGACCACAAACTGTCCCTTCTCCGGGCTTTCCCCCAGTCTCTAAACTGGACAGTCCTGCTGGTGAGACCCCAGGACAATGCAGATACAAGGCCCTTGGCAAGCCTCACAAGGCTGGGTGGTTTGACCTGTCACTTCATGGCCCTAACTGTGAGCACTTCCATCAAGGCCGAAGAGCTCTTCTATCACTTGGGGCCTTCAGAGAAGTGCCAGGGAGGTCAAGCAGAGAAATCCACTAAAGGTCCTCAGGGGCCAGATGGTCGCAGCGAGGACCAGGGGAGGGGAAGAGAACATACCCAAGAGCCCAACATCGTTCTACAGAGAAGCAAACCGAGTGACAGGGAGATTGAAATAACGCGATTAAAGGCTGTGTCAATAAGAAGGACTTGAATCCCACTCTCTTGACTACAAACATGTTTTCCTCTGCATGTTGTCTGGAGTAAGCACTCGAATCCAGCTCAGCCTTCCTAACGCTATGCTGCCTTCTCTACACGATCAGCCCCGTTTTAGAGAGGGTAACTGAGGGTAGGGATGTCGACTTTCACCCTGGACTTCCAGGCTGGTTCTGCATCCATCGCCCTGGTGCCTCAGCATCATCATGCAAAGATATCCCACCTCTCCATTCGTGGCCTTCTCTCTTGCTGTCCCCCCCATGCCTGGAATTTGGCCCCCCCCAAATCCCACTTAAAATCCTGTCTCCTACAAGCAGCATTTCCCCACTCCCCTTAATTGCAGTGCCTTCATTCTAGTGAATAATATTCTAATGACATCATGTGATACTAAAATATCAACTTGAATTAGAACAGCATTCTAATTGTATTAGAATGACAAAATATTCTATTATTGTCCTGCATAGATCACATTTGTGCACAGCCCTTCGCATGTTGTCTCCCCCATATCACATTGGGGGCTCCTTGAAAGCAGGGCCTGGTTTTTTTCCCTCCCTTTCTCTGAATCCCCAGCACTCAGCCCAGTGCCCGGCACATAGTAGGTGCTTCACAACTTCTAGCTGACCAAGCAGAGACTCGATAACCATTCGATGAAGACAGGGTTCCTGACTGGGTTAGGTTTTTTTTTTTTTTTGGGGGGGGGAGGGTAACTTTTAAGAATACTCCCAGCCACCAGTGTGCGGCCCATAGTAGGCACTTTAAGACAGAGTGGATATGACCTCGCAGGAGGCAGCATTCACAATCTGGTTGGGTAAGCTGGTCTTTTTTTTTTTTGCCTTTACATCCTCAGCTTAGCCCAGTCCACACAGCAGGTGCTTAATAAATGCACACCGAGTGACTGGGCTGCCTCTCTGCGGATCAGCACCTCCATTTTTAGGAGTAAAGTAAATTAAGGCGGGGGGGGTGCAGGGGGGCACGGATGGACCCGATCCAGCCTGGAAGACCTGCCCTCCAGCCACCACAGGGCGCTGCCTCTTTCAGCATCCTCGCTAAGCACCACTCGCTCCACGTGGTCACTCCCATTTTACAGAGGAGGTAAACTGAGGCCCTCGGCGCCACTCGCGCATCTCCGCACGGTCATGCCTATTCTATGGCAACGGGGGGGAAGGCCCAGGGAGGACGGAGGCGGGCCGAGCCCGGGCAGACAAAGCGTCCCGGGCTCGGCCCCTGGGGACGGGCGGGGGACGGCGGCCGCGGAAGCTTCCAGAAGGCCGGGCCCCCACCGCCTCCTCGTCCTCACTCACCGCAGGCCAGCAGCAGGACGCAGCAGAGGCCCAGCAGCCACAGGGCCTTCATCGCGGCGGCGGCGGCGGCGCTCGGTCTACTCCGGCACGGCACGGCGCGTCAGGCTCCGGCTCACGGCCTCGTCCTCCGTCCGCCTCCCCCGGCGGGGTTCCACTCCTCACACCCCGAGCTGCTGCGGCGGCGACGACGGCGACACAGAGGGCAGCGACAGCGACGCGAACCGCCCACCACCCCCCAAGCCGGGCCGCTCGCTTTTCACCCCCCACTCCCTGCGGGCGGGGGACGGGAAACACGAACCGGCCAATAGCGCCGCACCACGCACCCCGCGCGGCCAATGGGAAGCAGAGGTAGGGGGAGGAGGCGGCGATCCGCCAATGACAGCCCTCCAGGTGAGGGGCCCGAGGACCGAAGCGTGGCTCCAGCTGATTGGCTCACGAGAGCTACGTTGCTCTCGGCCAATCACCAGACTCCGCGGGCCCCTAGCTCGGGCGGCTCCGACGTCGGAGGAAGGTCGACCAATGAGCGCTAGCTCAGGCAGCCTCCCTCCTCCCCCTTTCCTTAGGGTCGCGCTCCGGAAGCACTTCTGGATCCTTCCTCGACAGCATTTACTCCGTTACTAGGGGAAACGGTGTCCATGGCAACACGTTCTTCGCTTTTCCTCCCCGAAGAATACATTGAGAGTCGTATAAGGCTCCCAGTTCGGCAAGTCCCAGGTAAGCCCTACCCCGGTTGCCGCAGGCTACTCGGGTGGGTAGCTTCTCGGGAAACAGGAATTTCAGGAGTTAGTGCTCCAGAAACTGAGGAGGTGGGAGGAGGGGGGCGGGGCGAGGCCGGGCATCCCGCGAGAAACTACACATCCCAGCATGCAACGTCCCCAGAACTACAAGCTTCTGGGCTTGCCTCTTGGGCTAGCCATGTGCGTACTCTTAACTTCTAGTGGCCTTGCGGGCGTTCCGGGCACTATCCCCAGCCCTTTGAGCCTGGCCTCGCAGCTAATGCCCATGACCTTGGGAGCACGGCTTGGTGGAGGGGGGCGAACAAAAAAAAGTGTGAAGTTTGCCTCTCCTTCCCCAGTTTGCAGTCCTTTCCCCCTCCCCGCATCTTCCTCCCTGAGCCTCTACATAAGTGACATAATCAAGGCTGTAAAGCTGGGAGGGACCTGGCAGGTCCATCAGTCTTACCTCCTCCTTTGACAGATGAGGAAACTGAGGCCCAGAGAGGGTAAATGACCTGTTAGAAGCATAGATCCAGTACTGGAAGGGACCACAGAGGTTATCCAATCCACTGCCCCTCATTTGACAGATAGAAGAAGCCCTGAAGAGGGTAAATGACCTGTTAGGAGCCTAAGTCCAGGGCTGGAAGGGACCTCAGAGCCATCCAAGTGCCCCTCATTTGACAGTAGAGTAAACTGAGGCCCAAAGAGGTTAAATGACCTGTTAGGAGCCTAAGTCCAGGGCTGGAAGGGACCTCAGAGTCATCCAATCAAGTGCTCCTCATTTGACAGTAGAGGAAACTGAGACCCAGAGCACTGAAGCCACCGGCCCCAAGGTCACACAGCTCCTTTAAAGGGGGGACAGCCCTGTAATCTCAATGTCATTTCCTTCCCCAGCATGTAGGGAGACCCTGCTGTCAAAGCTGCTTCATGTCCCCTGGCCAGAAGTCTGTGACACCCTCCCAGATTCACTTGGAAGGAGAGGGCTTGTGACCTTCCCTCCTGTCTCAGGGAAATTCTGTGCTTGTGAGCTGCAGCAAGCTCACCACCTCAGGTACAAAGACCTTTCCTGGAAAGTAACCTTCCCGTAGGCAAATTGTTTTGATTGAACCCTGAGGAACCTGAAGGCTGAATTTTCTGCTAATGGCCCAGCTCACCCTCACCTCCTGTCCCAGTCATAGTTATGGGGAGTGGAAGTGGGAGTGACCTCGGGGAGGGGGCTTCCAGCAGCACTAGCGTCTGCTCCATTATGATTATGGCCCTTTTGTAGCACCCTGGCCTGTGTGAGACCCAGGGGACAGTATGAACAGAACTGTGCAAATGAGATGACACGAAACAAGGAAGCTAAGTCCCAAATGAGTGCTCAAAGGATGCACCTGCGGAGCACTTGAAAGCAAAACCTGTGATGGAGCAAATGAGGTAGTATTAACTGCTAAGTGAAACACTTTCAAAATTTTCAGTGAGACAAGAAAATAGTACTGCTAACTGGCTTCGACAGGCGCTTTTCTTGGATAGGGACATAAATCAGTAAGTTGGGGGAAACATCTTTGCTTTCTCCTTAGAAGCATTTTATAAATTCCTAATCAGTCCATCAATCAATATTTATAAGCACCCACTATGTGTCAGGCACTCTGCTAACTCCCAGAGGTACAAGAAGAGGCAAAAGACAATCCCTGCCCTCAAGGAGTTTACGATCTAATGCAAACATAATTCAAAGCAAGCTATATACAGGATAAATAGGAAATACTTAAAAGTTTTATCTATATTTAAAAGACATTTATTTTACATATATATATATTCCACACTCACATATATTTCTGGTTCCCTCCCCCCTTTTTTAAATTAATGCCTTCATTTGAATTTTGCAAGCTCTCACCTACCTACATGGGTCCTTGAAGAGAAACAAGCTTTTTAGTGTTTGTCTTACAATGACACTTCCTTTATTAGAATACCAGTAGGTTACCTGCTTGCCTGAGGTTCCTGTTTGTTGACTTATTGTGGTCAACTCTTTACATCAGCTTGGATTAGCTGTATTGTTATTAGTGAGCAAACCTAGTTTAAAAAAGTCACAATCCCCTTTAAAGCTTCTGTGCTTCTCTCTTTGCTAGTTATGGTTTTTTTTTCCAGCCATGCTTTTTTTTTTGCAGTTTTATTCATATTTTTTTTGTGTTCCATTCATTTCTGACCTTTCTCTTTCTCTACCCAGCTAGCCTCCTTTTTCTTGTAACAAGATTTTAGAAAGAAATAACAAAAAAACACTTCAACAAAACTAACCAACACATGAACTGTGTCTGAGAGAATATGCAAAATGAGGACTAAATTTTAATAACTTGGATGCAGTTCATCTGGAATGCAAACAATAACATTTTGTAGCTTTGGTGAGAGAGGACTGTTAAATAAACAAGTGGATATTAGGGATTAGTTCAAAAAAAGCAACTAGCAGAGCAGAGGTTAATACTCTATGGCAAGTTTACCAAAGATGATTTTGAGTAATGTTCATTGGCTAGTCCAGTTAAAGGTATCATCCTGCACAAAAATGCATACCTGTATCACTTGGTAACAGTAGCCACATTTCTTTAATGTTCATTGGCTAGTCCAGTTAAAGGTATCATCCTGCACAAAAATGCGTATGTGTATCACTTGGTAACAGTAGCCACATTTCTTCTTGGATGGAGCTCAGAAGGGAGAGATCAGTGTGTTTTTTGAAGTTTGGAGCCCTTAAACTAAAGGTCTTGTTAAGTTAGCCTTGGGGTGAACTCAACTCCCTTAAGGTGTTAAATTTCACAACCTTTTCTCCTTTTCAAAAACTACATGTTCTTTGAAAGGCTCCTTCCCCTCTCCCCCATTTTTTTCTGTGTATTTTTTCTCTCTCTACTCAACCACTAGCATCACTGAGCTGGGGGTGGAAGGTGGAGCATGGAGATAGAGTCAATATTTCCTTGGTCATCTTTTCTGGACAACAGTAAGTGTGTCTACAGCACACCAATGCTACATTTCCCCATTCCAGACTTACATTGAGATGACCAATGTATGATGACTTTTGGTAGGGTTAGAAGATTAACTGGCTAAGGGGGAGCTGAAATCAAAATAAATAAACAAATCCTTGGCTTGCCCGACTTCTGAAAGGATGTGAATCTTCTTTTTGGAGTAGGGTCCATTCAGTTTCGACTCTCTTCCCTGCAACTTTTTACATTCATTGTTAGTGCCATACAATGATGATCGATAATTCGTGGTGATAACCTTCAGGCAATGTGGGATACAGAAGTGCCTGCAGAATAATTAAGAATTAAAGTGAGGTTCAGGATAATTTTAGTATTAGGTGTATTCTTTGGTATTTAATTTTTAAAAATTAGCAATTGGCCTATGGCATATTGAGTCATTTGAAGTTGACCCCACCTTTCAAGTGAAATTAGCCTAGTCATTCTCCCGCCATTCTGGATGTGGGAATTTACCTTAATTCAATGCGTATAACTGCTAATTTGGAAACATGAATTATAATTGTGAGCTAATTAGAAAAGATAGGAGGGTGGCTGGACTTGTGATTCCCTTGGTGCAGGGAACTCCCTCTCCTAACGCAGGTCAGCCTGTTCTTTGCAATTTATAGTCTCTGAGAGACGCCTCAGTGGTTCAGTGACTTGTCATTTAACAAGTAGTTGTCGGAGGGATGCACTTGAACCTAAGGCTTCTTGGCTTGGAGGCCTGCGCTCTCTGCCTGTCTGTCTCTGTCTCTCCCTCTCCTATGCCTGTCCTCCCCACCCCCCCCCTCCCAGCCCCGCTGCCTCTCACTTATGAACAGATAGCACTGTATCATTGGGCTGCTTCGTCTTTGATATCAGCAATGTCAAGCCGGCTTGGTTGGTTGATTCCCACCTGATGTTAAACAAATGGTCTGATATAGATCGCAAATAATGCCGATTCTGGGGCTGTCTCAACCACGGGATCATCATCCTCACCCCCAATTTGCAGTCTTCAGTCAAGGATCGAGGACCTAAGTAAACAGGCAATCCAGCTAAGCGCCTAAGTGACCGGTTGTGCACTCAAAATGGGCACCCAGATTCCCAACAAGTTTACAGGAATTCAGAAAACAAGACAACGTTTGGCCAAAGTCTGTGCATTTCCTGTGTGCCAGGCACTGTGCTGAGCTGTAAAGGAAAGCAAAAACAGTCTCAGCTGTCCAGAAGCTCACCTTGCAGTGCGCCCGATAGCGTTTAAATAACTAGGTACATACAAGACATCTACCGATCAGATGAAAGGCAGTCTGAAAGGGGATGACTGGCAGCTGGGAGAATTATAAGAGGGGCGGGGGTTGAGCAGAGGCTTGAAGGTATCCATGGAAACTAAGGGAAGGGGAAGGGCCAGAGCATTCCGGGCGTGGGGGACAGTCTGGGGACTAGGCGGAGTCCTTGGCTTTCTGACCAGCCTGTAGTTTTCTCAGATAAGCCCTCTGCTCTTGCTGGCTCCCAACACAGTCTCGTAGATTTCATCCTTCTCCTGTCCCAGGTCACCCTGGGAGGATGCCTTGTGCTTTATCAGAGGCTTCCTTTCCTATACCTTGCAAGGTCCTGTGACCTCTTGTGTGATCCTGGGTAGAATACACCACTTGCTGTAGTTTTCTTTGGATTTCTTAGTCGTCATTCAGTTTGGTGCAAACTTCAGGGTTTTGTTGGAGTAGATGTGGGGGGTGGCCTCCTGTTCAGGTGGATATCTTTACTGGATGTCGATTCTGATGCCATGTTCCTAACAAAAGGTAAAACGTCATGAAGTAGAATTAGAGCTGGAAAAGGGACCTGAGCTGTTCTGAACATACCATTCTCTTATGCTGGTTATTTCCAGCATTTTTAGTTCAGATAGAAAAGGCAGAGTTATCATGTGAACAATAAAGTAGTCCCCAAGCAGAGAAGTCCAGAAGTCTTAAAAGATTAGCCTCTGGAGACGTCTGATCACCAGATCACCTCTGTGAGCCAGGTTATGTCCAAAGAGAGTTGGTCGGGATTCTGTTTC